TTATATGTCGAGTTATTTCGTCCCCGGCCGTGTACATTGCGAAGTTAATTATGCCGGTCTATAGCTAAACGTATGTAGCCTCTCTCAACATATATTAATTGCTTGCAGTTCACTCTGAAAGTAATGCGTCGCAACTTTTTTCAAAAGAACTGTCCCGCAGTGGGGCAAACATGCAGGGGCACGATTCGTACAGTATCTATTACAAATAATTTCTTCAGACATACTGCGGCATATCAAGCTTCTTTCTTTTAATTGTAAAAATTAAATTACCGAATTATTCGGACTGCTCGTGGACGGAGCGGTTCGAATGGTAATTAAAGGTAACCGATTAAAATGACACGCGCGGAATGCGAGCAATAAATGTTACACTTTGATATAACATGTAATGATTTATAATAACGATAACTCGGGATATGCGCGATTGGCGGTTCAATTATCCGCTATTTTAAACGTCACACGTGACAGCCTTTGTACATATTAATTCACGTTCTGTGTTTGCCTGTCGAGCTTGGAGCAAAGCTATCCAGAGTTCAGAAACCGCAAGCTGCTTCCTGCAAGCTACTCCCGAGTCTGATGCGCGAAACGTTATAGCCCGGCTTACAACCGCAGTAACTGTGTCGTGCTCCGTAACACGGTGGCTTTGTTAAAAGTCAAGTGTTTACGCTACAGGGCTCGTATCCCCGTCTTAAAAGATCGATTAAATGATCTCTCACCTGCAAGCTCCATTGACGATGAAGAGCAGGGTCCACGTGAGCGATCAAGAATCCTGAAATACATCGTAAACAGACTCGGGAAGAATCGGTGGAGGGAAAGAAACGGGACTTCCCCTAAAACTTAGGAAGCACGGGTTTCTTTTAATAAATATTTTTGAACACTCGAGTATTGGCTGAGAAAAGTAGAAATTGGGTGTACGATATTTCTCGACATAAAGCGTTTCGTTTTAAGCGATCTATAAACTGCGGCAAAATTTAGGTCAGAACTAGATATAACTTCGATGTGTCGTGTAATACAGAAGATGATAAAATCGGACTTAAATACAAAATTAATGAGAATCCAAGTCAACTCATGTATAGATATATGTACAGATATAATTATAATTATACTTTACAATTAATATTATTTTCTTAATAGGTGATTATTACAGTTATAAAATATATACGTAAAATATATACGTAAATATATACGTAAAATTGTAGAGCAAACTTTTTAAATGTAATTGTCAATTATAAATCGCTTAAAATAAATTTGAGATGAGCACAAGACTCGAAATTGATTAAGAAATGATTAGGAGAATCAAATATTAAGAAGAAAATTTATCAACTGCGTTAATTTTTAAGTGAATTAAATAAATAAAGATATTCGATTCAAAGTGTTTAATTTCAAAAGGGAAGTTCCCACACACACATATTCGAAACCTGAGGATAGCGATAAAAGGAAACGTGATAGAGTCTCGTAAGTTAAAGAAGAAACCTCGAAGAGAGAAGGGATAGGGTGGAGGAGACGAGTGCCCTGGGAGTTGTTGCCGGAATGAGAAGGGGGAGGTGAAGGAACTTTTGGCACGGAGTAATCGAAAAATATATATTCAAAGTTATTCCAAGTGTTTTCTTACCCAGAGCCCCACCGTGTTGCAGCTGCGCAAGAGTTACGATATTGGTGTCCGTGGTTAGTGTGCGCGGCATACATATACGTCGTGGCTTAATAGACGAGAATTTAGGGCGATCTTACTCGCGTGGGATGGGAGAAACAAAGTGGAACGTGTACACGAACGTGTTAAATGTGTGTACCGTATATGTTGCGTGTCTGCATCGTGTGAAACGACTGTGAGACGGGCTGATTCTGGAATTGATTATCGATTATGGTATATTTTGATCGATTTGAAACATCTCTCTCTCTCTCTCTCTCTCTCTCTCTCTCGCTCTCGCTCTCGTTCTTCCTATCCTTTTCATTCTCTTTTTCTCTTTCTGTATCTCCTCGACAGACGTTACTGCATCGATAATACAACGCGCTTTTCCCATTGTTACCGAGTAATGCTGATACAGTGACTATTAAATACTGCAGCCACAGTATGGCATATTTGTATGACTTACAATTAGAAGCAGATTTGAAGGATAGCAGATTTTTTAATAATGTTGTTAGATGTAATGAAGTAAAAATTCCATAAATTGCAGAAGTTTTTAATTTAATCGATATTTTAATATCCGTTTATGTTTTTAATAATATTGATTAATAAATGTATGAAGTCTTTTGCTTGTACGGCTCTTTAATTTATTAATTTTTACTACAAAGAATTTTTGTTCCACAATTATAAATAAAATAACAAAAGAAAAGAAATAATATGTTTGTATTTAATATCCAAAAGTACAAAATTTTCATTATACTCTAATTATTCATTATCATCACATACTAATTTTATTAAATTATGTTATATGAAAATTGTCCATTATAATTATACAGCAAATGAACGTAATTTTTTAAATAATCGTGCTTATTTAAAATTATATTCTGACAGATTCGTTTTATTATATATTTAAACAAAAATTTATTTAATAATTATATAAAGATTAATTGCGAGAGTAACGTGCTATAAAGCCTATAATAATATATTTTAATTTCATTGTCTTTCTTTTCCAAAAAAAATATACGTATATAATTATACAGTATGAAAACTATTTAAAGCAAGCATTTTATAAATTACATTTTAAAAGTATATCACAAAATAAGTAATTTTGCAGTAATATTCCTCGAGGTTTATGTAATACGTCACGAATCAAGTTCACAAAAGAAATCTTAAAAGAAAGAAAACATTTATAAAACAAATTTTTAAGATTTGTGATATTCAATCTTATAATTTTAAAAGACTCTGCTTCTTAGTGTACACGTTTCTCATACAAGTATGTTAATATACAATCACAAATATGTTTCAGCACGACTGGTAACAATGGGGGGGGGGCCAATCGATGTCGATCTGCTCTTTCGTCCTGAAAATACAATTAGACGTAATTTTTGGCGTCAACATGCAGGCGGGTGCATTTCGTTCGTTCTCCTTTCCTCATGCAGCTTGGTGCTCGAGCTAAAAGGCAATTGTCAGACGCTCATTGATCACTCATTCCGTGAGGCAGAGAGGATGATTCGATGAGAAATGATCCGCAATTCGCTATCGACCGGTTAAAATCAGAGAATAATCTTTAATCTGTCAAAAGTTAACCGCACATTATTCGCCGAGAAACAGTTTGATTTCGTTAATCGCGCTCACAGTCATTTCAAGGTAAACGGAAGTGGATTCGAGTTATATGACCGACAATCGATTTATAAACTTGCGCATTTTACATTTTTATAAGAAGATTGATTATCCGCATCTTCATTTCTTTCTTTGTAAAAAAGAAGTAGCAAAGTTTTTTTTTTTTTTAAGAAATAACAAATTTCGGTTCAAATCATACTGTAGTATACACGTGCAAAGATATTAGATCGCGTTGATGACAGAGATGATGATGGTAAGAGGAGCGTAGATTGTTGCGTGCATGTGCAATGACCAGTGGTGTACCTATAGAGCTAGCTTAAGTGTCATGTGCGTATATTATCCACGCGTGAGCTATGTACATATTGTGGCTGATCATCTCCTAACCATTCTCAAGAAGGCGCTAATGGAAAGGATTATCTCGACACGACTATTGATAAGGACAGATTAAACGTTCAACGGAATATGCTAATTATACATACGTTAATTATAATTTAATAATAATCAACACTAACGTTCCAAAATTATATATTTATATATGTTTCTTCACGAAATATACGAAATATACATACACAAAATATAAATTCATAAATACGATTCCGTGTCGTATCAATCATCCTTTTCACAAGCTGCGTGTCTTTTCGATAGGAATAGAGAGAAGAGAAAAGAGAATAGCAGATAGAAATAATAAAGTTGGACGAAGGATGAGAGTCGTAAATAGGATGGATGCATTCGAATATTGAAACATTCGATCGTACAAATATTTTACGTTACTTTCTCATATGAAATCATATGTACACGGATCTCACAACGTCCGCATATTAAAAACTGAATTACTGCTTTACAATATATTCACGTGTATTTCGAACAGCGAATAACTATAAATAACACAACAATTGCAATAATATATTGTAAAATTGTCCAATGATTAAAAAATAATGTTCTCTCGCGCGTTTATCCAAAAATTGCAGAAAACATTGCACAATAAATACGTGTTATTTCATTTAGTTTCATTCCATTTTTTTTACATACAATTATTATACTATAATCTCGACATGATTTTAAAATAAATTATTCATCAAAGTCTAGCATAATTAAGTTATTGAAAATTTTTATTACACAAAATGGTTAGTTTTTCCATTCCTGAATTGCAAACGTTTATATCACTCGTATCAAATATTTTTATAGTATTTTTAAACCAAGCAATATTCTACAAGTTTTCTTTGTAGAGAGAAAACAAAGTTTCTTGGTAAAGGAACCATCATTATCGTCGTAAGAAACAGTTAAGTCAGAAAGTATCGTGCACATTTGATATTTTTGTTTTATCTATTATAAGAATCAATAACATGCCACAATAACAAGAAGAATTCTCTTGATTTTATTATATTGCGATGTATCATACATCTATACATATATATATTTTTTAAGAACTTTGAAGTACTTTTTATTTTTTACTTATTTTTATTTTTATTTTTCACTATTCAGCATCTGTTTTGAAGCTCGAATATAGGAAGTAAAAAGAAAAAAGAAGAAGAGAAAAGAAGAGGAAGATAAAGAAGAAGAAGAAGAAGAAAAAGAAATAGAAGAAGAATGTGCTCTGGTGACCACTCCTCTCTAAGAAGCTAAGTTCTCGCGTGAAAGTTAGCCAATTAGGTATATACAGGTGCGTGTCCGGGCCAAACGAGAGCTCGCGAGCTGAGCTCTCACAGCTTCATCTCTTTCACTTGCTGATTTTTTTTTCAAGCTTTGGATACTGGAGGCTTACCAGGTGGGACTCTGGGCTGGTGAAGGTGACCAAAGCGCCGTGGAGTCGCCTGTTTACTGTTGCTCCGGACTTCTTTAAAATCGGCAGTCCAATAGCGTGCGTTGGCCCAAGTTCGACCACGTGTGGGCGCACGAGGGTCAGCAACATCGAGAATCGATTTTAGAATGATCGGCGTCGCATGTTCGCGCGACGTAATGCGTTCATTGCATGTGGTGCATTTGGCTTTCTACTCGTCGGTGCCAGTTGTATATTTTAAGAAAAATGCTAATAATCGCTTCCGCAATTAATCGCACAGTGCGTGCAGAAATCCGAAATAGAAAATATATACATATAGTATCGTACGTTCGAAATTAATCAGGATCTTCGTCTAGTCTATGGTGATACTATTATAATTTATTTTCTTGTTTAAAGTATTGTTTTAGTATTTATAAAATAATAGCTGATTTAATATTTATGTAAAATAATTAAAAAAATAAAATTATTACATATATCTATTAATTGCGAAGTGTAAAGTGCATTTGATTTTTTTTTCTTTTTTATTCACATTGCAATATTAATTTCACGAAGTGGGAGAAAATCGCGAAGTCGGAGAATGTATTTTGGCGTGAACGACATTTTCAATATTTCGTTCTTTTCTACCAATTTGTCTCTTGCCGCGTTTCAAATGAATTTCTCGTACGCCATTCGTTTTTCGACACGAGGAAGGAAGCTGGGACGCGTGATAGACAGCGACATTGACAATCGATCTCGGAAATTCATTTTCGTCTAGACTTATGAGAAATACTCGTAATTTCCTACCAATTCACCTATGTATATTCGCATCGGGGAAATTCATTTTCGAGCCTATTCTATATTTGAATGACGCGAAATCTTGTCGTCTTTGCGTTCTATTAAATCCTCATAATTCCAACGAAATGAATGAGAAAAGAAGGCAACTCTGTTTAACATATATTCTCATCCAAACTTTTAACTTCTTACTTTACGCGGAGCCGAATGTTAAATTCTAAATAAGTCGACTGCCAAGTTACCTGCGAACGAATGAATTGCGGGCGAGACAATAAAGTTTCATTCGCGAGAGGTATAAAAGTAAGTACGACTTTTAATAGCAGTTTAAGAACGTCCGTTGTTGAGCACATCCCTGGCGGATAAGTCCTCGGAGGTACCTCCTGGCATAACTTTCGTTCACCAGGTTTCGCAGCAAGGGTTGACGCAGTAACCCTTGCTGCGCTCACTCTCTATTGAAAAGATATGCGTATCGCGAGATTCGAGTGAAACTTTTACAATTATCTTCAGTTACTTTTGAAACACTATTTATATATAACGGTATGTTAATTAAAAAAGCTTTTAAGGCAACTGATGAAGCTGTCATAAAAATTAAGGATTGAGATATTTCTGATAAAATCTAATTTGAAGAACAATCTAGATTCATACATGTATCATGAATAGAAATCTAAAAATGTGCGATGAAATATATGTATAACGAAAAATCGGAACGTCAGTTGTTTTTTTTTATTTATTAATCTTCCCGTGCGTTGTTAAATGGGCGGAAAAGAGAACGATTTTTAGATTGTATGAAGAATATATGGTTAAAAATTTTTACTACCATCGAAAGCACGGCGAGCACTTAGCCTAGCTTTCCAAGCGATCTTTTGTAGGACGGAGCGCGCAACGAGCCGTCTCCAGGAACGAAACGAGCATAAGGCGCATCGTTAAACACGTCGCGCGGTATAATGCGTCACTTTAAGACGAGAATTATCTTTCGGGCGGTATAACGAGAGGAGTAAGTCGCTGAAAGTCCCGCGTGACGGGGGGGGAGAGAGGTAGGTTCGTGTCTGCACATCGTGCCCGGGCATTAAGGTGCTTGTCATAAATATGAGGAGACACGCGTTCGTCTTGAATACCCGTAAAACTTCCGCAGCACGAGCCGCAGAGTTCGCGCACAAAATGGGAGCGCGTCGCGAAATTACACGGGCGCAGGTAAATTTGCTCGGTATAGAAAAGCCGCGTACGACGGGCGGCTTCATTCGTAAATAACGATGAGTTTAACGTGCACGCGCGCGAATCTATATACGTGGAAGCGAGACGTGAAATTACGGGCCGCGGGAAAGTGGAGTGTGAGAGTGATAACGATCGAATCGATATTAATGTGTGCCGGCACACATCGAGAGCACCTTTGATACTTTGATACTACACCTTTGAAAAACCAAGGCATCGCGTACGCGAATGACGGAAGTATTACCATGCGAGCGTATTCCGGAATCGGATCTAGGTACACGAGAAATACCTTCGGTGGTATACCCGCGCGGCGGTGGAATAAAATACACCTGTGCCGCGGGATTTAATATCGCGGCCATCTCCCCGTCGAGACGCTTTCGAGACGTCACGTAAGCTCGAGCTACTCGAGGCTTAGCGATTTCGTGACAGATTATGCCGGATTATTCGACGAGCACGCACATGAATAAGAAAATATACCTGGATCTCCGGCGAGACTTAACCCAAATACCAGCCAATTTTGCGCGAGGTCTTTAGAAAATTTCGCCGCGCGCATCCCTTTCGTTTTCGCATCTTTTCTCGCGCTTCTTCTCTGGAAGATCGCGACGTTACAAACGGCTAAATGCCAAGCGGCGCAGAACGCGTACTGATTGCTTGATAAAATATTTCAATAGAATTGCTAGATTTTTCATTCCGTTTTCTTCATTGCGAAGCTTTCAAACTCGACTCGGAGGTTGAGAAATTAACATCGCGGAATGTTTAATTACGAACGGGAAGGGAAACGCGATCGTTACTGATAAATGTAGTTTGTACACGTCAACTTGTATACGCAGGTCGATTATTTTTTTCCCCGGCAATTTATATCACGCTCCTCACAGGATACATTTATTACAATTTAATCAGTGTATTATAATCAGCATATAATATGCAAGCAGAATCGTTATATGCATAAAAAGGCTATTGAACATTTAATGAGGAGCTTTAGTTTGATGATAATTCACTGCCATTCATTAATAATCGAAGACAATGCGCGAGAGCCGTGTTTTCACAACATTATTTATTAAATAATATTAAATTATTTATTGCCCTACATCCCAAAGTGGGACAACGCTGTGCAGCGTATCGCTTACAGCTTACGTGAGATTATCCTTAAAATATTATTTATCACAATGGAAAATATATCTTTGTTTTTTTTTTCACTTTATTTGGCATCTAATCTGTATGTCAGATCTTTAATTAAAGTGCGTTTATATTTTCCGTCTTAATATTTTTAGCGAACAAAAATTACTTATTAAAATTATAGAAGACTTGTTATCATCTCATAAATGTACAATATCCACGTTTGAGAATAAGCTTTTAAACTAGTATATCGGATGTCATTAACGACAAATATGATCAACAAATTAATATCCCTTGTTGTTTGAATGACGATGCATTCGACAACGCCACGAAATTTAGCCGTAGAAATTAATTATTATGCTACCTGTAAACATTACACTCGCCCTTATTAATTCTTGAAACTCGGTCGCCCTCCAGAAGTTCACTCGGTTAATTAAAGCAGCACCGAAAACGGCTGCCGCGTTAATTAAAAGGTGGAAGAGCGTCTTACAACCGTTCTGATTGCTGGCACTATAAAACGGAAGAGACGGTACTCGCGCTCTGCGTGTACTTCAAGGAGAGCTCAAGTCACTCGACAGCGCAAGATAGAACGTAAAAAACATTGATTTAGAAACGCTGTTAACATCAGAATTCGAGGAGAAAAAAATCATATTTTACAAAATAAAACAAAATAATGTTTTATACATTCGAATGTACTGTGTATTTTGTACAAACGCGTGCCTTGTAAGTCAAAACACGTTTCAGAATAAAAGTAATTCGGTAATACAGTACAGATTATTAGATTCTCACCTTATTATTAAAAAAAAAGCCTGTTTTCGAAATTACGTTGTACAAAAATATTCCTCTTAATAAAAATGCTAAATTAAATTACTAAATACCGCATTTCGATTTTTTAATCGTTCCTACACAGATTTCCATTTTGAGGCAAATGATCACATGTCATTAATTTACGAGTTGAAAGTAAGTGGAAATGAAAAAGACTTTATGCGAAACAAAATTCAAGATTAAAGCTAAATAATGAAGTTTTATTTTTAATTTAGTATCAAGTGGACTTCGAGGATATTTAATACTGAAAATTAAAAAGTTCTGAAAAAGTGTAGAGTCCAATTAAACTTTCCCTAAGGAAAAATCTGTCAAAGAGTGCGCTCCTAAAGCTTGGCGACCTCTTTTAAGGTCGCCTTTATAATAAGATTTATTTGTCAGAGTTGTTCTTTCTACTCATTGTTAAATAAAAAGATTTAAAGAAAATAGTTTCGCGTATTCTTTCGTAATAACTCAGGAAGGAAGTGTGCTTTATTGGAGAATTTCCCGTTATGCAATATGGACCGAAGGGAACAGAGCATTTCACGAGTTATTGACTGATTTATCAAAATCATCGTCGATTTGTCGATTGAATGCGAACTCATAATTTCACTGAAAATCGTTAAATCCGCCGGTGCAGCGCGCAAAATTTACGAATGCGGCCTGGATTTACCCACCGACGGAATCGTGACTCGTAACTCTCGATCACGCGTGACACGAGGTAACGATCGAGGTGAACCACCTACATTGCACAATGCGAACACGTAATTACTTAGAAAGAGCAGCGTGATCCATGAAAGTATGGCATTATTTAGCTCTAACTTGCAGTCAGATCTCTTTTAATAAATATTTTATGATCTTATACCTTTCTAATAAATAATAATTAAATATTTCTATGTATTATTAGATATCTATTATTATAGACCGATGGTGCAAGTCCATTATATTTATTTAATCGAATATAATTTTAAAGTAATTCTTATCTCAAATAGCCTTATTAAATATTTGACATATTTTTCCATTAATAAAACAATTTTTAATCCCTTTTAAAGAGGAGGTGAGAATATTTAATTCAATAATTTTATTTATGGCATTTAATGGAAAGACAAAAAATATTTTCTAATGCATAAAAAACATCAAACTAATAAGTATCGAGAGAT